TGCTGAGTGCCCCCTTTTTTTGAACAAATCTCTTGTGGCTTCTGTGGCACTGATCCTCCTCTGGCATCTTCATCTAGGACATTTCAACTTTTCTATTCACTCCTCGATGCTGATTTTAACTGGATTTTGGTCCTTGTTCATCTTTTTGCTGTATATGGCCTTTATAGAAAATCTTACTCTCATCGCTGATACTACCATCTCCATTCTGATAACCTCCAAATCATGTCTCCATTCTGGAATTTACATCCAGCTACCTACAGGACATTGCCTCCAACTGAGTATGTCTAAAATTAAAGTCACTTTTCTTTCCATCCCTACCTTCTCCCCAAATCTGAAAGTCCTAATCCTCCTCCTCTCATGTTCTAGCCTGGTTAATTTCACCCAACTAAATGTTGGGAGTTATCTAGGTTCCTACAATTCCCTTCCTATTCTCTCCTCATTTGGTCGTTAACTTCTCTCTCCTAATTTCTTGCTACTCTCTCACCTCTGCTTCTTTTTTTGTGCTATTATCTTCTTGTAAGTCTAATATTTGGGTTTAGAATTCACATTACCTAAGAATGTCTTTCAGAAACTAAATCTGTTTATATCCTTCCTTTATTAAAAATCCTTCAATAGCTCTCCAAAACCAGAAAGATAAAGGCCAAGCTCATTTGCAGCCTTTCCTGTCCTAATTCCATGAACTTGTCCAATCATCTCAATAGTCTCTTCACCCACCTTTTACTCCAACTATACGAAGATACTACTATGTCTTGAAGTGTATCAGATTGTTTCATACTGCCATGTCTTTACAGTGGCTGTGTCAAACTAGAGTATTCCCCCTCACCACCACCCAAACATTCCACACCCAGGATCAATCTAGTCACATCCTTTGTTCAATGGTCATCTCTACAGCTCATCCTCAATCACTGAGACTGAGCTGATCATTCTCTCATTGTTGCCACTGTACACTGTGCTCATGATTGTTCTTAAATGAACTCTGCAAACTTCTGCCTTTGAAAATGACACAATGGTGGCTAAATTGGTATTGTGAGTTGTATCTTAGAATTCTTGTAGCTATATTTCCTATTCTAGATGACAGTCCTTTCATGACTCTCAAGGCCAGATTAAGAGCCTCTTTTCTGTCTTAGTATGCTACTGCTACTGTATTGCATTACAGTCATCTGTTTCTTATCCCTCTCGTCTCATTTATCTGAGAACTCTTTGAGGATTGGGTTCCAGATATATTAATCCTTTTCTTTCTAACATTGAGCACAGTGCTTTGTACATTGTAGGCAGTTTATATATATATATGCGCATATATATATATTCAAACAATATAACACATATATATATGTATATGGGTTTTTTCTTATTTTTACAAATAAAGGTTGCTATTGAACAAATGATCTGAGCCTTGAAATTAGAATTTTTTTTTTCGTTTTGCTTTACTCTTTGCATCTCCTAGATGTCTGAACTTTTATGCTGCAAACATCATTAATCTGGAATTAGTGTCACAAGATCTGGCTCATGCACTGACCAAGGGATGAGGTTAAGTTACAACTAGAGTAAGGACATTATTTCAGATTTTCATGTCTCCTCCCCAGCTTACCAGTGCCAGTTTACCATCTAAACTCTTAGTAAAGTATTGGGCATGGGGTCAACAAATAAGATCAGTCATCTACATTGCTCTTTGAACCAAACTGAATTGAGTGTTCTTAGGGGATATGATATAATAACAATGATTAACATTTATTGAGTGCTTACTTTGTTCCAGGCTGAATGATGAATGCTTTACATGCATCATCCCATTTAATTTTTATCCCATAGATGGGAGCCATTATTGGCCTCATTTTATTAACGAATTAACTGGGACTTTGGCCTTTGCTTACTCAAAGTCACACATAACTGGTATGTAGTAAAACTGGGATCCAAACCAAGACCTGCTTAAATGTTTTTATGTGAAACACACACGCCAAAGAGTGGTTTTTTTTTTTTTTTTTTATGGTCTTAGTTAAAGCAAAACTCTAAATTATAGCTTCTTGCCTTCTGTACTCTTGGTGATCTAGAAAATGCAGGTTATTACAAACCAGGAGTAGACTATATCAGTCCAAGTTTTAGCCTAATAGTTAAGGATGGAACACTGACTCCTAGTGGCTAAAGCTCTGTGAGAACGTTAGTTATCAATTAGTTTGAGGGTTTTCTAGGTATAAACACTACACGAGGCAACTCACATTTCTGATAATCCTCTCCCATTCATAGACCTTGTGAGATATGACAAAACTTCTTATCAAGTGACACAGTGCTTTTCTCAGCCAATATCACATGAACTTTAAGAAAGCTGCCTTCCCCCATAATAAGTTTGTAGATTCACAATGTCTGTTGGGTAACTGTACCATCCAAAGAGATTTAAAATGCCATAAAACTGTGTGTTTAAATGTCCCTGAGTCTCATTTTTGTAGAAGTTTTCAGTCAAACATTGAGCCCATTCATTTTTCATATACTTAAATCTGATATCTGGTATGCATTGTTTACATCTAAACACTTATTTTTAAAAGTTTTAAATGTTGAAGAACAGCACCCTAAATGATTAAAGATAAGTTGATTAAAAAAGACAACTAGGACAAATGTTATACACAGAAGTCTAGCTCTGGAAGAGCATATTGCAAATTATATCTTTCACTTAGTTTCCTCATCTGTAAGAAGGAAATTATAGAATTTACCTCTTGGATCACATGAAAATTAAGTGAACAAATTTATATAAAGAGACTAGAATAGTATCTCGCCTATAGGAAGCTCACAGTAAGTGTTACTTATAATCCTTCTGGTATTGTCTTGCATATTTACAGATTACAAATACACATTTTACATCTAAAACTCAGTTCATTCATTCATTTATTCATTAGCCAGTCAATCACTTATCTGATGTTTAACCAATTCATTTATTCCCTAAAGATTTATTGATTAACTATTAAATAACAAGCAATGTGCTTGCTGATATTGGAGATAAAATAATGAACCAGGTATTGATCCTATATTCTCAACAAACATAATTTAGTGGAGAGATGAAAAATGTACAAAAATAATTATTGTGAAAAATAGAAATGCCCAGTGTACTAAGAGCTTCAGATGAGGTCTGAATATACAGTCATTTGCTGAAACTTCTAGGCCTATGTTCATAATTGCAGATAAGATTTGTATATTATGTCCTTGTGGACAAAATAATCAAATTGTACTAGTTTTCCATCGCACCTCTACATACAGGAAGGCAGTGGCAAAGGGAGATGATTAGAGTCCATTATAAGGACACCATGTTTAGAAGCCCTTTTAGCAGCACATTATTTCCAGATGATTGTGTTAAGGTTGCCAGAGCACAATAAACACTAAAGTAAGTGACATTTGCTCCTAATTTGTCACATTCATTAATATTTCAGCTTCATAAATCAGAATGTGATTTAGAAATTCAAATAGCAAAAAGTTAATGTGGTATTAAGCCTTAAATTTTTCTTTACTTTGCCTTATTAATTCATTAATTCTTTCAGGTTCTTGAATATTTAAATCATTTAAAATATTAATAGTATACCAAAGAAATATCAATATTTGCAGTCAATTGGCATTCATATAGTTCTGTAATATTTTTAATGGTTTATATTATTCATAATTACACTAAATGAATCATCCTCAAGGAAGAAACTCAAGCAAGTTTGTTATGCTATGGCTATTACATGGCAAGCAGTGATTTTCTCTCAGAGTGGGGGTATTAAGAAATATTAAGTAATATTAAGCTGGAATAATAAGTGGTGTGTTTTTAAAAAAATATATATAGAGTAAATCATTTCAAATGATTATTTTCTACTAACAACAAGTAATATATTTTACTTAACATCAGAGGCTTTTAAATTGTTGCAATTCAAAGTTCACAAATCATGAAACTTCTTGTAATATACTTTTAGGTAGTAGAAGCATTATATACCTCACCCTCATTTCTGCAAAATGGAAGTGATCATGTCTGTGATGAACTACTCAATATTCACATTTTTCAGACACAAGTATATATATATATATAGATATATATACACACATATATATACATATATGTACACATATACACATATACATATATGTACACATATATATGTAATGATATATATGTAATGATAATATAATATATATGATAATATAAATATATATATATATGTCAGTGTACTATAAAGATATTAACTATAAAATCTAAGGTTGACTTCAGATATCTTTGTGGAACTGAAAAGATGGTATATTCTCTGTAATCTTCTTTGAACACTTTGAGAAACACTGTACTTCAAAATCAGGAATATTTTGTGTTGTTTACTCAGCTTCTAAAAAGTACTAACACTAATTATAGGAGAAAATATCAGCTTAGGTTTCTCTCCCTTCAACTGATCCTCATGCTTAATTGTCGTTTTTCATTTCTAGCCCTTAGGAACTAGGATACATTAGAATTAGAGTATTTATTTTAGCAAAACCTTAAGTTATATTTCAAATAGTTTTGAGCAAAAACATTATCTATATGGATAAAATATTCTGTCCATAATCATTTTTTTACTCTTACACTTTATATATGGCATGTGAAATTCTCAGTATTCCAAGATGAATGTCTAAAGAAAAACAATCAAGAGTAAATTCAACCAAAATTTACCTATGCTTAAGGATAAGGGAACACATTTTTAAAAAGAAAATGAAAACAAAGAAAACTCCACCAAACCATCTTCAGTCAGAAGACATTTTTCAGTGGGCCCTATTATTTAGGTATTTTTCCCCCTTTTCTCAGCTCTAAGATATTTTTCTAAACACATGGAGAATTCAATAGGTATTATAAAATTCTCAAACACCCATACCATTTAGGGTCCAAGTTTCCTACGTGTAAGGGATGTATCACATCAGGCTGAGTTCTAAAATGAACATACATCATTCTCAGGTTTTATCTCTGCTGATGGGCTGGAGCCAAGGGCCCCCCAGGAGCATTCTGGAAACACTGTGTTACTTACGGTTGAGAGGCAGGCTCGCATTGGTCGTGCCTAGTTTGTTGGCAGCCACACAAGTATAATTGCCGAAGTGCTCCTGTGTCACATTGGTAACAGTGAGAATGGATCTTGTGCTAAAGTTCTGAATGATAATTCCTTGTTGGCCATTGAAGAGCCTAGAAGACAAAATCAACTCTAGGTAAATATGCATCATGAATACCATTTTTGGTTTTATCTTAGTTGGGGTTGTCATGGCAACCCAGAGACAGTTTTGGTCCATACTAACGCTAGCATATAATGTGATAATGGTGCAATTATATTTGCCTTGCATGAGTAGATATTGGGGAGGAGAAGCTGTACGACAGCTGTGGATTGTTACTACGGGTTTCTTTGCACTCCACAACACAGTAAATTGAGATTTCCACATGTCTTATTCATACATTGATTTGTATTTTAGAAAATAAATGCACCATAGCAATAGCTATGTTAAAGTCATCTGTTAAAGTCAAGAAAGAGTAAAGCAAATTAAATATAATGATTTCATTAAAAACCGATGGTTTCTAAAAAGCTGGATAAGATATGTCTAGGCCATTTCACCTGACATTGTTGGCTAACTCCTGTCAAAGTTAACCCCACAACTGTGATAGGATGGTTCCAAATCCAGGGTCAACACCACTTTGCTGCTGCTAATACAACCCAGACAGATGACTTGCTATTAACCTAGAAAAAAGCAGCAGCATAGCATTGAGAAGAGCATTTTAAGTTGAGTCTCATCTTGGCCACATTTGAGGAATGTGTCTGGGAAAGTCCTCTAACCTTTCTGGGCCTTAATATAGGATTCAGTTTTACCTGATTCCACCCTGATGACCCAACAATCTCTCTCCAGACCTACCGGCAGAGGCCTCACTCTCAAATAGGCTAGCAAAGTGTCACCAGTCTCAAGGCTTGCCATGCTCCCTCCAGCTTCACGTTTTTCCTGATCTGTACCCAGTGGTCATCAGCCCTTTGTATCTCTGCCAGCTGGATTCTTCTTTCTGCCCTCAGGTCTGATGTGTGTTCTACATCTCCTACTCCAGTGCTCCTTAAATGATTCTTCCCTCTGCCCCACTCTCTGCATGTTTCTTTTGAAACTGTTGTGCGATTTATAAAATCAAAGCTACATTCTTGCATTGTTCTCTGTAGCAGTTTCCATGCACACAGGTCTTTTCAACCCAAATAAATTGAGTTGCCTTAAATTCTTCAAAAGACAGGGCCATATGTACATAGTTTATTTTATATTTGAGTCCTGCATAGCACTTAATAGTACATAACAAATAGCTCATAGATCAGTAGAGTTGGGGTGACATTCCCACAACACAGGGACTGGTAAGCTCACTTCAGGGCCCTTCTCAAAAAATTCTTTTTCTAAATATGAATTCTGTTATAATGAAGATGCCAACCAGATGATAACGTCTCCCTAACTTAGCCCCAAAGTTTACTATGAAAAGATGTGCTGATCACAATATGGACTATGTAAGCTCATAGCCCCAATGGCATGGTATCTTTCCCCCTTAATATGTTCAAGTTTTAGTACTAAATATTTTTTCATCACGAAGATGCAAATAAATGACAGTCCTGTGAGAGATTAGGGTGAACTCTTTTGCATTATGTTATGTGACTTGCATCTGAATTTAGATAAAATATACTGTAGTTACATGCAGATTAAAATAAGCAGCCATGCTTGATTACCCTGGGAATTACTTACATTTTATGTAATGGCTGAATTTGACTTATCCAAAACTCAAACTTTAATTAGATTAATAAAACTCTGACTTAAATAAACACTGAGAAACGTTAACTTGAGCAATAAACCCAACAATCCTCAACTCTGACACAACAAAATAAGGAGTAAAATATTAAGGATATGGCAGTTTTTACTCCTCTGTCTTATATTTCAAATATATCAACATTTATGCTAAAATGCCATTGTGATAATTGCTTATTTTTCTGCATCACATGAATGACTTTATTTTTAACCAATAGTATATGCTATGTATAAAAATTCACAGCTTCATTGGCCAGACAGCTCTAGGGTTCGGGCTCAAGTCTATTTTCTCATGTCTGTGCTCATATGGACACATTTTCCAGAGGACTCAGCAACTCCCTGGACTACTAAATTCCCATTGTGCCCCACCTACCAAACTAAGATTCATTTTTCTGCTCAAGAATTAAAAAGAAATTAGTCAGGGCCTTCATTTGACTAGACTCTGGGGAGAAGATCCTAAGGGAATATATTCAGTAACTTCATGGCACTGTTTGCTTATATTCCTTCAGGCCATCTTTCTGAGTTGGCTTCCAACTGAGGGCTCTAAATTGCCCTATAATGTGTCTGAAGGCAAAGCCCCAGATGTTGCTAAGTCATGCAGGACACCCACGCTCTGTATGTGTAGGCCCATTTTGGCCTCTAGCCAGGGGTGCTGTGAGCATCTTTATCACAGAGTCGTATCAGTGGCACATTAACAGCAGCGACTCCTGTTGCTCTACTCAGTCTGGCAAATGATTATGGCCAATAAAACAGAAAAGTATCCTCCCTGGGAGGATTTTCTTCCCTCTAGAGGAAGCTACCTCTCTGAGATTATTGGAGAAGTCCAAACCTTATGTTTTTTTTTTTTTTAAGAGTTGGGAATTCTAGAAGTGCTGATTCTTTAAAATACCCTATAAGAACCTATCTTTACCATTAGATGGCTGAGACAGCCTTCCATAGCTGACCTTGGGGGAGAATGACTCTGGGATGGTGTCTATCTCTGAAGATATACTGTGATTTTCCTGTAGGGATCCTGTGGGTGCATGGGGTGGGGAACTTTGTCAGCTATTCACATCAATTCTGAAAATTGTTGTTGCTACAAAGATGAGTTCTATGTTAGATGATTAGGGACTTGGCTGGGCAACACATGGTCTTTGAAGATCTTTGAAGGCCCTTCAGAAGCTCAAATTTGAAGATAAGAATCAATCAGACACATAAACAGGTGTTTACAAGTGAGTTTATTTTAGTCACAATGGGGACCCTATTAAGATGAGTACTTTTACCCCTAGTTATGGGATATAGAAATGTGAACCACACTTATAAGTCTCATCACGTATGCCCTGAATGTAATTTTATTCTTTGACTAAAAACAAATAATAAAAGAGTTCTTTAAGTGGTAACAATTGTTTTCAAAACACTTTTATTCCAAAGTGTTTGAATATAGTAATATTTTCTGTAAAAAGTATAATGATTTATCAATAAACACATATATTTGACCCATTAAATTATCATTCTGTGTTAAATAAAATTCTTGATACCCTTCAAACATGCACATGTCAGCCTATTAACAGAATGACCCTCACACCACGGAATTTTTCATATCCATCCTAGACTTGTTTCATTTCCATCCAGACTTCCTTGGATCAGTGATGTGGAATCTTGAAGTGACAACTCAAGCAATAGTTCACAATACACCTTATAATAAAAATCAGAGAGCTAAATCTTGAACATTGCCTTATTTGGAGTTCTCTCTTTTCCCTAAATACTTAAGTCTTTCAAGTTTTAAGAGAATCATTTTTGTATTGACTTTGATTCCAGAATAAGAGATGTCGTCTTACAGTCCCTCCCCACAGGAAGAGAGAAAACAATTTTATTGGGTTGAATATGGTTTTCTTTCCCTCAGAAGTAGATCAGCAGTATTTGGTGCTTGCTTAGAAATCCCTGGGCATTTTTATTTTTTGCATTTTTACCATTCAGTGGACCATATGGCTATAAGATTCTTCTATTATTGTGGACCCTGCTGTCCTCTACATTTACTACCTATGGTAGTTTATTCCATATTGCTCTGATCAGAATGTTTATGTACACCAAAAATTCATATGTCAAAAATCTAAACCCCAAGGGTGATGGTATTAGTGGGTGAGGGCTTTGGAAGGTGCTTAAAAATCATGAAGGTAAAACTATAATAAATGGGATTAGTGCCTTAAAAGAGCTCCAGAGAGCTCCCCTAGCTCCTTCTGTCATGTGAGGATACAATAAGATGTCTGTGACCTAGAAGAGGACCCTTCTCAGAACATGCTTGCACCCTGATCTTGGACTTCCAGCCATCAGAACTGTCAGATAATTTTCTGTTGTTTATAAACCACCCAATCTGTGGTGTTTTGTTACAGCAGCCCAGCTGGATGAAGACACATGCTGAGGATCATTGCCCTCACTCTCCTCCCTTCTGCCTTTCATTAATGCCTCATAAATCTGTAAACTGCAGGCCATCTGCCCTGTCAGCAGATGATGCACGCAACTCATAAGTAACACAGGCTGACCAACTAACTAGTTCTGAATTAGAGTAATCTCTTATATTTTCAAGTGTCAGAAAGAAGTAGCACATAGAAAGAATGTTAACAACTTAAGGATACTTATAAATCTGACCCATGAAATGTTCACAAACTTTACAATCATAGCTTATCTCAAGCAGTAACTAGGATGGAAAAAAGAGTTCATAGCAACATCACAACAGGAAAACTGACCATCACGTTATGGGCACTGATTGGTAAGGTAGCAAAAATAAGTGGTACAGCTATACCAAACCTCATTCATTTTATATATAAATCCAGCCTGATGGCACATTTTGGGGACTACTGTTTGCTCTCTGCCATTTCAGGTCAAGTCTAAGGATAAATATTTTGGAGAAACAGGCTTATAAGTGCAAGTAGTCACTGAAATCCTTCATGGCTAATATAAGAAATATACATACGTGTTTCAGACAACAACACTTAGAATATTAAAGCAACTTTAAATAGGAGTGAGAGAGGTATTCTCAAATAATGATCAATCTTTCATCAGACTAGAATTGCAGGGAAATATGATAATTATATCATGTTGTATAACTGGATAAGATTATTATGGCCTTATTAAGTGATCTTTGGGTGATAGTATAGCATAAATGGAAAAATAGTAGGGGACAGAAGGTGGTTCTTGAGTCCTAAGAGTTATATGTACAAAGAAAATGAATATTATTTCCCACAATGGATTGCAGGCTTTTGAGTTCTAAGAGGTGGTGTGAGCTAAGGATACAATTCAAAAAAGAGATTTAGAAAAAGTCATGGGTGATGGTAAAAACATCATAGGTGATAGTCTTAATGTTTCTAAATGAAGTTTTACTTGGTTATCAAATGA